ACAATGTTAATATAATTGTATAGTATGCGCGAAGGAGATGCGCGTACTTAATTTTCCATGGAGAGTAGGCATTCTGATTGTTTATTATTCTATGACTCGGGCATATTTTGACAGATTCATTGTCAGAAACCTACAACACTACAATTCCTACTTCTCAGTATTAATAGCTCAAGTATACTACTATTCCGTCTGCGCGAACGAGATGCGCGTACTTTCAAGCAGAGTGGGCATTCTGATTGTTTATTATTCTGTGGCTGTGCCAACACTTCACTAAAAAAAGTGTTATACCAACTTAAAAAACCGTAATATCGTAGAAAAAATTGGCAGACTGATAGAGAACAACATAAAGAGTTCAGTTGTGTGTTCTCTGGGAGAATGGCCCATAGGACTATAGACCCTTATTCTAGCCACCGCCTCAATTAAAAAAATTCAAAGACAATACAGATTATTTTATAAATTTTCGAAAGCCTTTATTTCTTTAATAAAAAATATTTATGTAATAAAAAATTTTTTATACACCAATACGTATGACGTATAATATACGTCATTGTCAAATCTGTCTGTACGAAAACATGACGACTGATGAAGATCCCTATTCAGACAAAACGTTGTTTTCTGACTTTATTTAACTTCGACTAGAATTTTGCGCCACGCCGTTCATAAAATATGACATTATAAGAATTTTTATTGTAAATAGATTTTTATATGATTTTAAGCTCAGGGTTTTTTTGTTTTTTTTTCTAATTTCATAATAACTACACCGAATCGGTAATTTGGAATTCACGCATCAAATTGGTCTCTAAAGCGATACTTTTTAAAGACCAATTTTACTAAAGACTGATAATATTTCTACCTTTCAGTTTTTTTACAGCTTGTTTTATTAAATAGGCTGAATAAAGAACTCCGTAAGATTTTTTTTGTTTTATTTTTTCCTTTTTAGTTGTTTGTATTCTCAGTGGACTTTTTTTAACATTCTACTAAGATTATATCAACTATTTTCGATTAATTAATGGTTTATATTGACGTATATACACTAAATTTATAATTTATCCCTAGAACCACAAGGTGGCGTCATGTAAGATCGCTAAACTCACTGTATATATTTCAGTCTCTGCTATTTATAACTTTAGTTGTTATGGTAAAAAGTGTTTATTCGCTATTATCCAATATTTGATACTGAAATTAAGATTTATTAATACCACAATTATAACAAAAAAAACACAGAAGTTAAAACACTTCACACTTGTATTGTGGTATAAAATCACATAGTTAAAACTTTTTAAGAAAGTGTCAAAATTTATGTAAACTCGGTTTCATCGTTCTTGGCGTGTGCCTGAAATAAGCTACTACGGAATTTTTAATATTCGTCTCTCTCTGATACACAGATGCGTAATTCAATTGTGCGAGTCACGTTTGTCATGGTAAAGTGCGATGAGAAGGGAATGAAGAGACCACTCACGTCTCCCAGTATTGTAGCAATAACACCGATGCGTTTGGCCGATACGGTGTCGGTGATAAGTTCGGCCTCTTTACGAATACAGATAGCTGCCACTGGAGGAGGTAAACGAATCGAGCTTATACAAGGAAAGACAGATGAAACAACTTATTGCAAGTGTTTTTACACGCACACGCCAAGAAAGATGAAAACGTCTATACTAGCATAACGTTTTCGATCTGAACAGATCATCCTCAGTGCCTTATGTAATTAAAGCTAACAAATAAAGTTATCGCTGTGACCTCCATATATGGGTTTACATCATTCCAAATTTAAAATTTTTCGCGCCATTTATTGCAGCCATCTTGATCTTTTTGTTTACAAATGACAATACCGCGCCGAAACAACATCAGTCGATGACTCATGTAGTTTTCGAATGAAATGGGTATTTATATTAAGATGTACAGTTAGTTGAGACTGATGTTTCGGCTTAGAATGGTGCATTGACTTATAAAAAGCGGATTTATGAAGAAATGTCAATATTGCCAAAAATTAACTCATGTTGTTTCTGAAAATACCGATTCAAAATTGAACTTTGTATTGCTATTTCTAGAGACATCAGAATTTTCTGGAATTAAAGCATCAAATTCATCATACTCCGTAACCTATATATCTATGTTGTCTTCAATTTCACTCTAATCGCTTTCTACAAGCTCATCTGAGTCGCTATAACCTTCGTTCACCAATTTTTCTAACTCGAATTGCGTCAAAGATCACCTTCCCTTATATCTATTGCTTCAACCGGGTGTAGCTACAATTAACACTCTGCAACAATTATAAGAAATAAATAAATAATTCCAACAAAACTTTCAAAAACTTATCCTCGTAAAATCTAAAACATAAAGGCGCGTTTCCACGTGTCGATCTGGATTGAACGATTTAGATCGATTATTAAATCGAAAGCAAATTGAATATGTAAACCATTAATCGACTTGGCCGTTCGGCGGAGTGAGTCGATTCGACGGAAGTAGAAAGACTGTCTACTTTTGATAGGCGATTGTCGCCGAATTGATATCGAAAGACTGGAATCGAATTTAAAATACCTCGTCAAACAGAAACACAATGTGCCGAAAGCTGAGTAGAGTACTTCTAGAGTGTATAAAGTTGTTGTTTTTAGTGCGACAAGCTGTAATTTTGGAAAAAAATTACTGAAAAATGGTCAGATGCAGACATGGCAAGATGTTTGAATGCTTATCAAAACTAGGATATATTATGGAATCCACAAACCGAGCTTTATCGCAATCTACAAGCGAGGCGAGCAGCATTGCAAGCAATTTTACACCATATGAATAAACCCAAAATGTCTGAAAATGACTTGAAAAATAAAATCAAAATATTAGAACACCATACAATCGTGAATTGAGCAAAGTATTGTTATTATTTATTATTTATTTATTTATATTATATTATTATTTTGAAACAACATAAATTTTGTTCTACTATTCAAGCTATTCTGTCTACCTCCTCACAGCAATCAATGGTC